GATACACACACACACACTCACATACTCACACACAGATACACACACACACACAGACACACTCTCTCTCTCACAAACACACAGATACACAGATACACACACACACACACACACACACTCACACACACACACACACACACACACACACACACATACACACACACACACTTCGAAGGCCAGCTGGGCTCGATCCACATCGTCCTGGTTCTTGTCTGGATGGACGAGGATGGACAGCTGAGGACAGAGAGAGAGAGACGGGCGTGAGACACTGAGACTCTCTGAATCACACACACTCACAGAGAGATGAAGATCTACCTGTCTGAAACGCTTCTTCAGCTCCTCGTCTGTGGCTTCAGGATCGATCTGAAGAACCTGCACCAACCACACGCGCACACACACAGACACAGGCACAGACTCACACACACACACACACACACACACACACAGACGCACACACAGACACACACACTCTCTCTCTCACACGCACACACACACACACACACACGTGCTTCATGCGTGTGCATCTACTGCCATCTTGTGTTTTGGACTGGAAAACTGTCTTAAGATGTTGAAGTGGTCGGAGAAATTTTTACATTTAGCTCCTTCAGATTATCATCAATCTACCAGCCATATTTCAGTATGGAAACATATCTGTGTCAATTATACAATTATAAACATTTTTTTTTAATATTTTATAAAAGAATAAATAATCAAAATAATTAAATGTTAAAATAAATAAATAGTTCATTTAAAATAAACATAAATAATGCATTAATCAATCAATTAATTAATTAATATAATAAAACTGTAAAAATAAAACTATAAACATACAAATATAAATTAAAAATTAATTTACATTTATAATTCATTTAAAAAATAATAAAACTACTAAAATTATTCAAACAAAATGTAAAATATTAAAAATCATAACATTTTAAATATTTATTCAAAATAAATGCATAAATTATTCATTGCAAATAAATAATTAAAAGTTAAAATAATTTTAAAAATGAGAATAAATAATAAACAATTAAAAATTGCAATAAATAATTTCAAATAAATAAAATACATTTTAAAATAAATAATAACAATAATTAAATGTTAAAATAAAACAAACAAAATTAAATAAAGCATTAAATAAACAACACAAATAATTTATTTTAAATAAATAAATAACCAAATAAATATTAAATTTTCTCCGGGAGATATATATATATATACAGTATATATATCGCTCTGCTTATAATCACTAAAAAGCGGTCACTCATCTTAAACGCCTCTGATTCAAGAAATCAACAGATATGTCTGCGATTGTCTACACTGCTCAACGCTGCAAAAACATGTTGAAATAGAAACCGGAGCGCAAACCATAGCGCACCGTTTGACAGATCTTTAACTGAGAGTGCTATTGATTTCGTTTGAGGGTGCTTAGCTTAGTTAACGGTTCAACCCAACCTTCTGCTAACCAGCGTTTAACCACTGCACCACAGCACAAGCCCAGTGTCTCATCCGGACGCTGAAGAAACTACAGCAGGAAAATCTTAGTTCACTTGTGTTTAATTAATGCATTAAAATTAAAAATAAAAACAATATGATATTGTTATATTACAATAGTATATTGTCATCTGAACAAGTTACGAGTCTGCCACTTTTGTTCTGACCAATTGAGGAAAGAAGCATTACAATAAATCACGCTATTTTATTCTCAAATTGTTAATGTTAACAACATCAGCATTGCGTGACTATGTGTGTATAGTGTGTATTAGCGAGTAGATTTCGATTTCTGTACAGTCTAATCTCTAATTGTCATACCATTCGAATTTCATATAAAGAAATTCTTCTTTTTTTTAACCCAAAAAGCTCATTATTCTTCCTTCGAACTGGTTATATATATACAGTATATATATATAGTCACAATTAATGCATTAATATAAAATGAAACATTAGATGAAGAGGCATAACTAATGCGTTCAAATATTTTTATAATGCATGAGATGTTATAAAGTTACAGATTTGACGTTTCATATACAGTAATGTGCAGTGAGACTGAAAATGAGTCTTACCGAATGTCGTCGTCTGTGACGGTGAAGGCTTTGCAGAGCGGCTGCGATGTGTTCAGCCATATGCTCGGGTTCTTGTCGGCCGCCGAGGACGTCTGACCCGTGATGGGTGCCGAGCTCATGTGCAGAGCGCTAGCGATGGCCGACAGAAGCGTCTCGTCCGCCGAGTCCGGCCCCATACCTGCGCCACAGCACCCATGTTAGCCAGCGATCGCAAACGCATTCAAACCAGAGTGTGTGTGTGATTGTGTGTGCGTGTGACTGTGTGTGCGTGACTGTGTGCGTGACTGTGTGCGTGTGTGTGTGTGAGAGAGAGAGAGAGAGAGAGAGAGAGAGTGTGTGTGTGAGAGAGAAAATCTAATTTCCAAATTTACATACACTAATAAATAAATAAATATTTTAAGAACTTGCATAGACCAATAAAAAAACTGAATTAATTAATTAATTAAATAACATCATAAATGTGTAAATGCATGGATAAATAAATAAACAAATAAATAAATAAATCCCACATCATATAGGCCTATATCTAGAAAATAGAGCACAATCAGCAGATTTCCTTTGCAATTTGCATAATCTATTCTGACTTTATTAAGATATTTTCTGCAGCAGGCATCATATCTGCGAGTCTAGAAAACAAACCGTCAGAGCTGCTGATTATATCCAGCTTCCAGCTTTAAGTCTGAAATGTGATGAATGTGAGTGTATTAATGAAAACAGAACATCTCCATCCATCTCTGAACTTTCTGTCTGCCAAACCTTCCTGAGACTGAAGAGTGCAGCACGAGAAAACCGCTCCTTCAGCGGCCTCTAGTGGTCACAGCTTGAAAATGCAACTAAATGCATCTAATTGTTTATTTAAAGAGTATTCCAGAGAGATGAGAAATAATTTGGTTACACTTTATTTTAAGGTGTTCTTGTTACAGTGTAATTATACATTTAAGTTCTAAGTAATATTAATAACAACATGCACTTATTATATGGTTATGGTTAGGATTAGTGTTTGGTTCAGGGTTACTTGCATGTAATTATGCGTAATTTATTGTTATTATAATAGTAAGTGCATGCAACATGTGTAACAAGGACACCTTAAAATAAAGTGTTACCATTATTAAAACTTCTGGCCAATGTAATATTCAGACTAAATTAAACGCATATTATATGCCGTCTAATTATGGCTGCATTTATGCAATAATGTACAACTTAATCAGGTTTTCATTCATTGTAATAAAGCTCAAATAAAATATAAAAACGATTCAACGAATCAACTGAAGTAAAAATACGTTTAAGCTGAAGTACTAAAATTGCTAAAGCTGAAATAAAAATACGTAAGAGCTAGATAGAAATATAAAAAAGAACTAATAAAAATAAAAGCACATGACAGAATTACTAAAACCTAAACTAAAATTACAATCTGATGGAGCTGAAGTGATAACTAAAACTTAAAAATACAATAAAGTAAAATTAGGAGACAAAAATGAAGGTAAATCGAAATATTTAAAAACAAATAGAATTGGCCAAATGCACAGCAGAATTCCTCATTTAAAACGGCAAACTCTGAGTGATGGAGGCACCTGTCGCGGCTGCTCCGTGGCTCTCTGGAGGTCTGTCTTGACTTTGTTGTTGGGATGATTGACCACTTTAGTGACCGGCTGTTTGAAGATGGAGGCTGTTTGTCTGATGGGCAGCGCCGTGTTCAGATCCGGCTTCCCCTACGAACACAGAGACGCATTTACAAAATACTCAACCTAAAGTCATTTTGTACATCAGGATCCAAACGCTGAAGATCTGCCGCTTTGTCTCATTTCAGCAGGAAATACACTCAAGGTTTTCAGAACAAAGAAATGTTATTATGACGTAAACAAACACATTTCGCACTATATTTCTATGAGACGAATCAGAAGCCAGTGAAAGTGAAGGTCAAAGATGTGGTCTGGACAACTGCTGGACTGTTTGGAAAAGAGCAAGCAGCATTAACACAGAGAGCTTACAGAAGAACGGAGCGAGGCAGTGCTTCACAGCAGTCCACAAACAAAGTCTGTTCACACTTCTTCAGTCACACCAGTCTCTTCCAGCCACACGCTCATGCATTACTGGATTAATAGACTAAATACGTCCTGTGTTTTGAGGAAATATTACGTACAGTAAGTGTTCATTTAAAATAAATACTAATAAATAATAAATTAAAAATAAAAATGAAATTTGTAACAATTAAATAAATTAAATTCACTAAAATTAAATTAAAAATAATACAGTTCATTCAATTAAATAAATAAATAAATAACTAAATATTAAGTATTATCAAATAATAAATTGCTGATTATTTTTAGTTAATATTTAGGAAATATTATGTACAATAAGTGTTTGTTTAAAATAAATAAAACAAGTAAAATTCATTTCAATAAAAAAATTCATATGAATACAGTTAATATACATGAAAAAAATAAAATAAATACATACTGTAAAAAGAATGAGTGATTTTCATGTTTACAGATCATTCACATTCAGCTCCGTTCTGTTGGTCTTGTTCAGCAAAATCACATTGGCTGTCATTAAACTGTAATACTGAAACAGTGTGTGTGTGTGTGTGTGTGTGTGTGTGTGTGTGTGTGTGTGTGTGCGTGTGTGTGTGTGTGTGTGTGTGTGCGTGTTTGTGTGTG